GGCCGAAGGTAGGCTGGGTTATGGTAGGTTATAAGTTATTTCGCGTTAGCGTAAAGAGCACTATTTGGGATAGTTTTTTAGGGTTTTCTAAAGAAACATTCGCCTTTGAAAAGATCTATTTTCGTAAATTACGTCAGATGTGCTTATTTCGTTCTGTATCGTTTCCGGGGTGACAACGCGTGTTTGTGTGACTCTGTAGCACACCCAGTACCTTGAAAGAAATGACAGTACCTTGAAATGAAGAAAGAATCACAACTTTCGTGTGTGTCACTGAGTAACAATGATAGTGATTTAATAGAAGGTTTGTACTAACAAAGGAATGAGAATTACTTCATTAAAAAAAAATTATTTTACTCAAAAAAAATTACTTCAAATTGTGTGTATCTATTAACTATTGAATAAAGTACGATTGACGAGACGAAACGAATCTGTAATGGATATTCTTCATCTTCTTTCAAGGTACTGGGTCAACAGAAAGAAATGACAATACTTACATATAGGTCAGTAGGACGGGTTGCCTCATCGGCAGGCGCGCTTTTTTTCTTATAAAGTTTACTGCGTTCAATTGCGCGCGTGACAATTTCGCCAAGATCTACTATGACATGGTACGCGTTGACGAGGCAACCCGTCGCACTTACCTATGTAAGTGCAACACTCTGTACGTGTTAATAATTGAATAAAGTGTGTTTAACGAGACTAAACAAATTTGTAACGGATATTCTCCATGAAAGAAAACAAACAACAATTATGACATACAGACATATCTCTTCACATATGGCAACAATAATTTAAATATTCTCAGGAAAATTAAAATAATTTTATCTCATGAAACAACTCATGTAAAATAATAATCATAACCGCGATGTTATCTATTACAGATCCTTAACGTGTACGGCAAATTCATAACTGATATAGCAGAAATTCATCTCCGATACAGGCAGATTATAACAAGCGTGTGCGATACATATCAAATACTAAAATGAAGGTAATCTATTAATTAAGTAGTTACGGAAATTATTTTCCAAGATGCCAATGAAATAGATTATCTACTACAAGTTCGAAACTTTAGCATTTTCAAGTCGAAATGGTCAATAATTTCAATCTTTCTTTAACATTACTGTTATAACGAGGAGGTATCATTTTTTGATATCGTCATAGTCACTTACAGTCATTTACATAGTCATTTTTTGATATCGTCATAGTCATTTACAGTGATCTTAAATATAGCTTAAGAATTGAGAATGAAAATAAAACGCTAATATCAAGATAATATAAAAAGCACAAGAACGACAAATTACAATATCTCAACATTCGATTGGACAAACACTTTATTCTTTAATTGCACAAGTAGCTAAATAATATTTGGTTTGATGAATAGCCAATACAGTAAAATTCTAAGAAAAATTATAGAACAATTACCTTAACGTGATTAATAACCAAACATATTCAAATTATAAGCTAACCTCGTTTAAAAATTGAGAATAGGTAAGTATACATAAATAACATTTGCAACCGTAAAATTAAATAGATTTTTAACGGATAGAGACCATTTTTCTCTCCAATAATTTTAATGTCTAAAATAAAATCTCTTACAATTATTAAACTAACGCTTTGTCTGCGTATACATAACCCTTGTAGGTATATTCTGAACAACTTTGGGCCATTTCCTATAACTGATAAATTTTTTATGAACTTTATAAGCGGTCCTCTGTGCCCCGCTCTCCTGTAGGATTTATATCGGAAGAGATATATGAGATCCAGACGAGCCGAAGGAAGGAACTCAGCTTGTAATGAACGAACAATTGTATATTTGCTTAATATAAAGTATTAAAGTGAACACTGATTATATCAGAGGACTCAGACGTCCGACTTATAACTGTTGTACGACTGGCGACTGTTTGTCTACTACTACTCTCTCTTTTTCGTGGCGCCTTCGCAAGGCGCCGCGTTCAACTTAAACACAACTAAATACGAATATAAAGTAATTATAATATTATAATACGTAAAAAAATAAAATAATACTCACCTGCGATTCCTACATATATGATGATTCTGAAGATGATCTAAAAATATCAGAAACGTTATATTTTTGTAAGAACTATTGAAAGAAAGTGATTTTATTCTAAACGGACATATTTTGGTGTCTGTTTATACTATAATTCTAATTAATCCCATTTTTGTCACCAACGCTCTTATGTCGCCTACATATCATCTCCTTACATTTGTGTGTGTGTGTGCGTGTTTGTGTATGCGCGCGCTCGATACTGCGAAAACATTATTTGTGTAGATATTTGGCAATATGTTTTCTTTTTAAATCATACTGCTCTCTATGAGATCATTTATTTATAGGTTAATTATCGTGCCATAATGTCATGTTGAGATTCATTGAAATATATACTGTTTGGAAGCAGCACTGACGAAATGCGAGCAAAGGATAACACGATCCTTGGGTGGCGCTTCATCCTTGTCGTACACTCCCATTAGAAAACTAAATATGTCCGTTTAGACATCATCATGTTATTTCAATAGATCTTACAAAAATATAACGTTTCTGATATTTTTTATTTAATTTCAAAGGTTGCCAAAAACAGGCTTGAGGGACCTCCCTCCTTTGATATTAAAAGAATATATTTGTTCATTTTATAAAATTTTTCTCGTAGTATATAAAATTACTATCATTATTACACACCAACACGCAGGAGAGTTGGTTATTGCAATGTACTTCAAATAAAAGCCTGTTTCTTCTTTTCACTTATCTGTGTTCAACTGTTTTCTGTCGTTTTTATACCTTGAATTTGAATATTACTAGAAGTTATAAACTTTAAATCAAACATTTTCAAGTCGAAATGATCAATAATTTCAATCTTTCTTTAAGAAAAATCTTACTTTTATTACGATGGTGTATCATTTTTTAATATCGGTATAGCCGATTTAAACCGGCATAGTGATCTTATAATAATCTTACATATAGCTCAAGAATTGTAAATGAAAACATAACGCTAATCTCAGTGTAATATAAAGAGCACAAGAACAACCAATTAAAATATCTCAACATTCAAGTAGCCAAGCACTTTATTCTTTAATTGCAGATGTAACTAAGTAATATTTGATTTGATGAATAACCAAGGATTCAATGAAATTCTAAAAGAAATCACGAAACAATTAGTTTAACGTGGTTAGTAATAAAACATATTCAAATTATAGACTAAGCTTATTTAAATACGAGATTAGGTAAAGATACTTAAATAACATTTGCGATCGTTAAAATAAATAAATTTCTAACGGTGGAATCAAACTGCCAAATTAATGTCAATTATAATACGAATAAGAGAGACTATTATTATTCAATTCAAAATCCAATAATATTATATGGCTTCGTTCCATAAAAAAATGCAACAGTATTACACAGAATTGTCCAAAAATCGCTCAATCGTCATAGGTAAAGCAATAATAACTATTTTCTCAGAGAAAGGCAATAAAGTGCAATCAATGTTTTTCTACAATAATTTATTTTAATTAAAAAGATTTGTGGAATTATACATAAAAATCACTTATACAATCATACATAAAATCTTGCACATAATTTATAATGATATTTTTAAAGGCATGCAAACAATGCAGTCGTACACGAGTGCTGCATACTTACGTAAAATCGTGTTCGAGAAATTTATATTATATTTATTTAAATTTTTATATTATATTTATATTATAGATAGTTAAATGTTTACAAAGCGCGAAAGCATATTATCACTCTCATAGTGTATTATCGGGCTCCTCTCTCTCCTTAAATAAATATTTTCAATAATCATAAAACGCTATTAAAATCTTTTTTAGAAAACCTTTCAAAAGAAAGCAAATTGTAACCTTAATCAATGCATTTTTAAAATACGTTCTTTTCTTTTAAATGGTTCCAAAACAAAAATAATGAATATGCTCGTGTTCCTCTCGATGCAGCAATCTGTGCTCCTCGCTGCAGTAAGAAATCAAATGGCACTGAGGACATAACCTCTTCTGGTTCTGGTCTGTCATCTTACAAACATGACATACATTCGGATGGAAGTAATAGTTGTAATTTATAGGTATTTGTAGCTCTTGCACTTGTAACTGTAGTATCAAATTCTGTGCCATCACTCTTTCACTCTTAGAATAATATATCTACCAAGATAAATAATTGATGTTTAGCGATATTTTATTTATAAGAGTAATTATATTAGAGATAGGGCCGAATCTCAAAACCTTACAGATATGAGGAACTTGTGTATTCATAACAGATGTCGATTCGATGATTGTTCACAGGATACTAATGAAATGTTTACAAGAGCTTGACTCGGAAAATGTTGACACAATTCATTATTCATGAATCCTCATTCTTTTATTTGTCCTATTACTTACATATAGACACAATTAGGCAAATGAAACGCATCATCATTAATAATATATCAGTCCATTTCGGCTACTATCTCGGTTAATATCATATGAAAGAAGTAAGTCGCGATAAATAACTAAATGCTGATTAGGAAAATACACAGAGTCATTCTCATAGTCTCTGTATGATCTGTGGGATACAAATTTATTTTCTTCATTAATAACAGGTACAATGTCTATGTGCAATACTTCCTGTATTTTCAGCACGGTCTCGTAAGCTTTATTTCCCGATTTAGCCGTCAGAAGTATCGGACAATCTTCACGTTGTAACGCTTTTATATTTTGTATGGATATCGCGTCATTCCTAAACTCTGCATTGAATATTACAATTACATCTGGTTGCGTATGCAACTTATATGCATAATTGTAATACAGCATAGGATGATAATCATATTGAAGTTTCTTGTTTTGGTTGATGCAAGTCTGACAAATCGGCAGGAATTCACTTCCTTCTGACAAATGTGGCTCTATCATTGCGACTAGTAGCGTCGTGCCTGGATTAAATTCATGTAAGAGGACTTCCCAAGCTGACAAACTGTATAAATCCGAGAAACTCCCGGCGATAATGTGAACAATGTAGAAGTCAATCTTGGGTAACACCGTTGGATTTAGTAAATTTGCATCCCGCATCCCATGTAACAGTGTCAGCGGTCCTGAGAGCTTGTCACTGCATATACCATCATAAAAAGAATAGGTACACAAATGTATGTCACAATTAATATGTAATCCATCGTGAATAAGTGATCGCATGTCATAAGTAGTGCTTGTTATGTCCGTGCTAAGAAGTTCTCTTGGAATCATTTTCCCCTGTTTATCTAGCAACGAGCTGAAAAAATCGTAGAAGAAACATTCCTGCAGCTTCAAGCACATATGCTCATGAGGAGTATGTCTGTGATCAACACACTTGTTGATTGATAGACATGATGTGCAAGTGACGATCAGGTTATCCTGTCGTCGGCAATTAAAACACGATTTAGCAAATAAGAACATTTGCTGTTCATATGGCAGCAGTTCACGACGCAGCATATCCTTCAATAATATCAAATTTACTTTCCTAAATTGGAGCCAATCCTCTGACGTCATGTTACGAGTGTCCCACATGTTTCTGTATGTATTTATGCTTACTATACCCTGGCAAATATGCTCGTGTTCCTCTCGATGCAGCAATCTGTGCTCCTCGCTGCAGTAAGAAATCAAATGGCACTGAGGACATAACCTCATCTGGTTCTGGTCTGTCATCTTACAAACATGACATACGTTCGGATGGAAGTAATAGTTGTAATTTATAGGTATTTGTAGCTCTTGCACTTGTAACTGTAGTATCAAATTCTGTGCCATCACTCTTTCACTCTTAGAATAATATATCTGCCAAGATAAATAATTGATGTTTAGCGATATTTTATTTATAAGAGTAATTATATTAGAGATAGGGCCGAATCTCAAAACCTTAGATATGAGGAACTTGTGTATTCACAACAGATGTCGATTCGATGATTGTTCACAGGATACTAATGAAATGTTTACAAGAGCTTGACTCGGAAAATGTTGACACAATTCAAATTCTATTTAAATATATAACGGATTAATAACATTCCTTATTAAATAGGATTTTGCATATAATGGTGGGAAAGATACAATATATTTTTAATATTTTAATTTTTACTCTAGTAAATTATGAGACCATCTTTGTTAAAACAAACATGATGTACAGATTTTACCTACTCTCTAAGAGAGTAAAAAGTATTACTTATAATAATATATAAAAAGAATTACATATAATTGTACATAAATTACATTTAATTAGATATAACACACATGAATTTCATCTCTACATCAATTGCCGTATCTTCCAGACTTTCAATTTAATCATGTATTATATATGTGCATACTTCTAATTGGAACTAATTTCCATATTATCTTTATTATGGCAGGAAATGTTTTAAATATGCCGCACACACACAGTACCATCGATCAAATTTATATTGCATAGTAGCAGAAATATTATGATTGACACACGTCGCTGTTGTCTCGTCCGCGAAATGTTTACAAGTAGCTAGCATTAGAGGACGTAAGGAATGAGTATTCGTCGGTGAGCGAAACACACGTAGGACAAAATAAAAATAAAAGACAGATCTGTCCTGTTTTCAGTTTCTTATATTAACGATAATTAAAACATAATATGTGTAAAAATGCTAACTCACTTTTAGGAGAGAACAATATAAGTACGATTAATGCATTTCTTAAATAAATTTTAATAAGATTTCATCTCATATACATAAATAACATCACATGCATAAACTCATACAAAAAAGCATTCATTTTGCACATTATTTATCGTGTAAATCGAACAATTTTTCAAAATCGTATACAAAGGCAAAGAACATTTATTTATTAATGTAAAATTATACATAATTCTATATAATTTGTATTTAATTATATTTAATTATATTTAATTATATTTATTTATATATTATTTATGCTTCAATATATGGACTGTCTTTTTCGAAGCTACTACTTAATTACATATCACTTTTAATCGAAACTAATTTACAAATTATTCTTATTAAACATAATATATTGTAATAAGGATTGTCTTATAAAGCATTGAAATAAAAATTGAAATAATAGAAACACTCTGTTGTATCCATGCCATTATTCGTAAAATCCTACTTGATAACGAATGTTTTTAATCTGTTATATGTTTAAATAGAATTTGGACAATATTTTCCAAGCCAAGCAGAAGTTCTTGTAAACATTTCATTAGTGTCCTTTGAATAATTAAATATCAATTATATATAATTATATATAATTCATATTTAATTATATATTAATTATGTTTCTATATATGGACTGCTATCTTTTTCAAAACTTCTACTTAATTACATAACATTTTTCATCGATCCTAATTTACATATTGTTTTTATTATACATACAATACTTTACAATTATACATATTATTTACTATTATACATTACTATTATACATTACTATTATTTACTATTATACTTTTACAAAGAAAATGAATATCACATGTTTATCAAATTATGTCACATGTGACTTATTTTTATAGATTAACATATTTTCTTGCAACTTCATCGTCACTTTGCAATTATCAAGGAAATAGATCAACGAGTTCAAGGTAAGAGAATTAATATAGCAAACTGTACAAAGTGTTCCAATTCGATTTCACAATCTCTCGTGAAAGTGTAGAATTGAGGTGAGTACAAAACCCCCAAACCGTTTTGCAATATTTGCAATAACTATCGACGTATTAATTAAAGAATATTTGTAAATGATAGCGCTCGATGTGGTAAACAAGTTGTAGTGACGACCTGAATTTCTGAAGATCTGAAGTTAAAAGGGAAAATAAAGAAGAAAAAGACCATTAATTATTTACGTATAATCATTAAAGACGATTGGTGTTCATTATCCCATCACGCAATAATTTTCTGTAATGAATAATTAAAAATCTATGTGGTTATTTGCAAAATAGTAGAGAACCTTTTTGCTCAGTTTGATTTAATGTACAAGCATACAATAACAGACATTGTCACTACAGTTCATTTATTGTATCATGCATGATCATTCACATATCTTCTACGATTAATATGTCAATCATTATTACAATTTTCGAAAAATATTCGAATTTTAATATTGAATATTAATATTCAAATATAAATTAAAATAAATATTAGATTTTCATATAATATTGGACCTTCTTGTTTATCTCAATTCGCTCTACGTCCTCATAAGAGATTATGAAATCGAGCTGGGACGCCCTGTATAAGGTGACATTTACGTCACTATAAATCGTTTATAAATACTAGGTAGCAGCGTCGATGCAACACAGTATACGGTAAAAAGTTGTTCGTACTGCATTCGCTACTCTATCGAACACGAAAGATTCAGAATGAAGACTTTGGTGATCATTGTGACTGTACTAGCCCTTACGGTAAGTGTTAAGCAACGAGTAAAATTCCTTTATTCAGTGAGTGAGTTCATTCATGACATATCTCAGTTACGATATCAAATCGATAAACTTATTTCGAAATTAATTCTTTCTTAAAAGTATTACTTCAATCAGTTTGCTCCATTAGACGATTAGAAAAGATATTAATATCACTGAATATTCTGTTTTTTAAATCAACGGATCAAAAATAATTTGTTATTCGACCTATCTTCAGCAAAAAATCGCGAATTGAAAAATCCCTTTATATACTTCAATAAATGTTGCGAATGATGAATTTTTCCAGACGGTTGTATATAGTTTTAACTTGGCACGATTACAAAAGTTCACCAACGACTTTGTAAAGTGCAGTGAGGAAATGGGCATGTCGCCGGGTAAGTATAAAGTTATTATTCATTACAATCTCTTTTTCCTTCCCAAAGATAAAAACATAAAAACACGAAAAATAAATTAACTTGGTACAATAATGTCACAATTGAGCAGAACTTTTTTGGAGAACTGTGCTAATATTTGACGTTCTTTTTCACTATTTTAAAGAAAAAAATGACCAGTATTGCATTGTTTAATGATCGTATCTCTCTGTTCGAAAGTCATCGAGTTTCTTTATTAAAAAGAAAGGAAAAGCAACAGTGATGTGTTGTACTGGCAGATTACATTGACGTCGTGACAGACGAGTTCATACCAGTCATGATACGTAAAAAAATTTCGAAAATTCGGGAAATTGCATAATCACATCTGTAACTTGTATTTTACTTGTAGCTCAACCCAATGTCGAATCAGTCAAATGTGCGACGATCAGAGATGGAGAGGTACATATTTTCATTTTTATTTTGATATGCAAACTAAAATACATTTAAATTTTCAATCATTTCAATCGAAAAAAATTTCAATTGAAAAAGGAATTAAAAATGTGCACCACTGCATCAGTTTTGAAAAAACAAAGTATGAGATAATAACTTATAGTAACATGTTAGACAAAGCTAGAATAATACAAAGATGAAACTTCCACAAGTTGAAAGAAGAAATATTTCTATACGATACATCGAATTGAAAAAAGATACTTGTATATGTAGATGCATAATAATGACAATTTTAATCAACCACGCGTTATTAATTACAGAAACGTTGTGTATTATCGCGTAGAATCACGTAACAAATTTCTTTCACTAATAACTAAAAACTTATGTGATTATTTGCAAAATGATAAAAGACTTTTTTGTTCAACTTAATGTACAAGCAGACGATAGTACATATCGCTACTGCAGCTCATCTGCCACATCGCACGTGTTCATTCATCAATTTTCTTTAATTAATATCTCGAGATTGATTGCGAATATCACAAAATGGTGTGAAACTTTTACATCAATGCATTCAACGTTTCTACAAACGTTGAGACGAATCTGGGACATCCTGTATATGTATGTTTTTTTTTCAGTTTCACAGCAAGTTTCAAAAACATTTATTTCACGAGATAACTCTCTGCATGTGATTATAAAGAAAATCAGTTTTTATTGACGCGCTAACATACTTTCATAACATGCTTTCATATAGTGTATCCGTACAAATTTTTTAATTAAAAACACCGTACAAATTAAACAAATTTTGTAATATATAAGAAGTTTATATTTCCTTTTTTCTAACCGTGAGAATAAGTTGCTAAACTAACACATACCTCGTTTGCAATATTAAATTGTAGTGTGAATTATTCCAGGTCCTTAACGAAAATCTGGAATACATAAGGCTGCAAGCTTTGCAGAGACTTGAGGATATTATCTCCGACGCGGATAAATTAACACAGGCAAAAGCAATATACAATAAGTGCTACGAAGATGGTAATAGATTTTATTATCGTCATGATAAAAGTAATATTCCTGACTACAAAATTCTTTTTCAATTACAGTTGTCCGAACCGGAATCACAGGTGAAAAACAGACAACACAAATTATCACGTGTGTTATGCCAATGATACCTCTTATCGACAAACCACAGTAAAAGGGCAGTGCAAATTTTCTCTTGAATATAATGTAAAAAACGAATGATTACTCTCCAGATTACTCTGTTTAACTTCATCTGTATATCGTTTATATATCTTTCTGTTATGTCTCGTTTGTATCAATAGCATTAATGGTTTAGTAAAATGTGACAGAACTAGAGAAAGTCCGACGAGACTAAAGGAATTCTACAATCGAAAGAGAACATTAAACGTCCGAGCAAATACACTTTTAAGCATATATCGTCAAAAATTAACGGTGCACGATAGAATAAAACCTTACATAATAAACAAGGAACATAAGTACCATCAAAAATAGAATAGAAGATAGTATCATCAAATTGGGAGATCTTTATTGCCAGAACTTACGCGGTACAAATATATTAGATGACTGGAAGTATTCATGTATATATAACTGTGTTAAAATCAAAAATACTGCAAAATAACGTGATTTTTAATGTTTTCACACATTGAAGGAAAAATATATGAATACATATACCTACATTATTCCCTTATTTCCTTTATTTCGCTCAGAGAGTCATGTTTTGTTGGTGGATGACCACAATATAAGTATGAAATAAACTATTCTACACAGTAGCAGTACTATTTAAGAATCCATACATAACCTCTGGTTAGCGTTAAAAATTTAAAATATATATTATTCGAGTCTCCAATTATATATGTAATCCTTTTACTACATTCTTTTAATAGATAATCCAATCGTATATCTCACAGTACAGGATGATATATCATTATTGCTCACTTATTTATATTCTTTATTAAACTTCAAATCCTATTATCTTTATTAAACATCAAACATTTCAGAAACACATCTCTGTGCAATGTTATGTTTAGGAGGCATTATAAAATAAAATTCATTCAATCAACAACAGTTAGTGCGCAAGTATTTGTCTATAAACATGACCTCATTACGCACGATACAGAACACGAACTTGTACAAAAAACGGCACGGACTAGGTTGGCTATATTTTATTCGATGACACAACAACGTTGCGACGCCAAGCAAATAAAACGAAATGATGAATGAATGAGAGTTTATTAGCACTGGTTGGCGAATAATTCCTCATATCAATTTTGTAATGTTTTTTTTTTAATGTGTATTTTATTTCCAACATGATTAAACCACTGTAAACATCATATTTTATATGTACTTAATATATTTTATGTATACTTAATATATTTACCTCATTAATATATTAAAAACGCTTCGAATAATTCAAATTGTGTCAGCTTCGAAAAAAAAATTGTAATAAAATTGAGTGTATCATTCCAAAACAAGTTTCATTCTTTGTCACTTTGTTTTGTACATTTTCTTACAATACTGTTTTCGGATAATTTCAAAATTAAACTCAAAATTTGTTCAATATTTACAGTTCTGTTTTTACGATTATTTGAATTTCAATGTGTTGCATACGTTGACATTTCACGTACAATTCGCGATTTAATTCTAAATTTTTTATATTATAGTCAATGTTAAGTATCTTGCGTAAAACATTCCTCACTTTGAGTAATATGTTTGTTTATATAAAAATTTATTAAAGTTATCATCATTTTTCTCCTTTTATACGATTTTACTCGAATTAAACACAAAATATAATAAACAACGATACGACATTTTTTATGTTTAGAAGAAACGAATCACAAATACAGCAATACGTAGCCTAATACAGCAGAAAAGTTACTAGTTCCTACATTTTAAATAATGTAAGCCATGACTGAATATATGAGAAATTCTTTCGAATATTAAATTATATTTTATCATATAGAATTATTTATTATGGTTCATAGCTTAAATATATATTTGTGCGTTGAACAGAAGTCTAGTCGAATTAATAAGAGATACATTATGGTAACACGTGATGTAGAAAACGTGTTTTTCAGAAAAAAACATGGTTTGGTTATCAAGAAAAATAATATCGCCTTATACAAATGTATCGTTTAGTAATTGCTCACTTCCTTGGAAGAAAATTATACATGTAAAGCGCAACAATGTTTATCTCGAGATGTTTAGGGCAAGATAAGTCATATATCAGTACAGATTTAAAGCACTAATGAATGACGTAAATTGCATAAAAACCATTTAAGAAAACAGCAAAATTAAATAAAGTTCAACATTGTTCCGTTTATCGATGGCACGCTTAATTTCATTATGATTTTTTCTTCAAAGCTGGTGCAATTCGAATTATTCATTATGTTTTTAACATACTAATGATATGATAAATAACAGTGATATGATATATTTATAATGATCAGTATATATAATCTATAATGTTTGTAATGATTTAATCCATTTGAAAACATATTCTTTGATTGAAATACATTAAAATTATAGCCTTTTCATCGAACTGACCATTATATTTAAGAGATATTGAAAACGTAAGTATTCAAGTTACGAGAAGCTATGAGAAATATTTCAGTATCAGATTGCTTCTCTTGCCAATGAAACTAACTGAAACGTTTACTAAACGTTAGAAACAAACTTATACATAAAAAAAAATATAAAAAAAGATATAAAAAAAGATATCTTGCAATTTTCATAAAATTGGACCTTTATATAAATTAAAATAAATATTAGATAGTATTGAACATTTTGTGTATGTTAATCGCCTCTACGTCCTCATAAGAGATTATGAAATCGAGCTGGGACACCCTGTATAAGGTGACATTTACGTCACTATAAATCGTTTATAAATAGGTAGCAGCGTCGATGCAACACAGTATACGGTAAAAAGTTGTTCGTACTGCATTCGCTACTCTATCGAACACGAAAGATTCAGAATGAAGACTTTGGTGATCATTGTGACTGTACTAGCCCTTACGGTAAGCAACGAGTAAAATTCCTTTATTCAGTGAGTGAGTTCATTCATGACATATCTCAGTTACGATATCAAATCGATAAACTTATTTCGAAATTAATTCTTTCTTAAAAGTATTACTTCAATCAATTTGTTTCATTAGACAAGTAGAAAAAACATTAATATCACTAAATATTCTATTTTTTAAATCAACGGATCAAAAATAATTTCTGTTATTCGACCCATCTTCAGCAAAAAATCATGAATTGAAAAATCCCATTTATTCCAATAAATGTTGCGAAAGGATTGGATGTATATGTTTCTTATCCAGAAATGAATTAACCGATTATTATATTACAGACATCAGAATTTTTTTTATAAAATAGTGAATTTAAATAGCAACGAGAAGTTTAACTTCAGACGAGAAGTTTATCTTTCAGACTATTTAAAATGCCTAAAAATATTGAAGTCCATTATATAGTATTGTAATATTTGCGTGTGTAACATTTATTGAATGGTACTTATGAATATGGAAAAAACATAGTCCATCAGTATAACGAAATATTCATCTGGATACTACATGAAAAACTCACTTATAGCAACAGGAATATTGTTGTTTCTACTGAGCCAATTGCTCTCTCAATTATCTCAACTACATTTTAATGCAGCCAAATGTTCAGACAAACGGTTTCAGTTATGGACTAAAAAAGATATTATTTCTCGTCTACGAGTTTTTCGTCTGATCTCCATTCAGTTACACAAACTGAAAATTTTTTCCGTATATATAATTTTCTCTGTTGGCAACACAAAACTAATAACCGAATGTAAAATTTACGAGTAAATATTCCGCGAACAATCTGGCCAAATCTGGTCAAACTTAGAATAATCATGATTACGATTACACTCGATAATCAATCCAAAACAAAACAATATTTTAAAAAATTGTTTGATGAACCTTTTCAGATAGCTGTGTATAGTTTCAATGTTACACGATTACAAAAGTTCACCAACGACTTTTTAAAGTGCAATGAGGAATTAGGCAAGTCGCCGGGTAGGTATAAAATTGTTATTCACGAAACATTCTCTTCTTCCTTCTCAAAGAAATAGAACAAGAAAAATAAATTAACTTATTATAAGAATAATGTTACAATTGAGCAGTTGAAAAACTATGTTAGTATTCGACGTTCTTCTTCACTATTTCAAAGAAAAAATTTATCAATACTGCATTGCTTAATGATCGTATTTCTCTGTTCAAAAGTTATCGAATTTCTCGCTCTTGATTAAAAACAAAGGAAAAGTAACAATAATGTTATACTAGCAAATTATATTGACATTGTGACAGACAAACTCATACCAGTCATGACACGTAAAAAAATTTCAAAAATTCGCGATTGCATAATCACATCTGTAACTTGTACTTTATAGCTCAACCCACTGTCGAAGCAACCATGTGCGCGACGATTAGAGATGGAGAGGTACATATGCTTTTCATTTTGATATTTAAACTAAAGTACATTTAAATCTTGAATCATTTCAATCAAAGAAAATTTCAATTGAAAAAGAATTAGAACTATGCACCACTGCATCAGTTTTGAAAAAGCAAAGTATGAGATAATAACTTATAGCAGACAAAGCTAGAATAATACAAAGACGAAACTTTGACAAGTTGAAAGATTCTTCTTTATAATGCAAAGAAATACTTCTGTACGATGCATCGAATTAGAAAAAGATAGTTGTATATGTAGATGCATGATAATGACAATTTAGTCAATCACACGTTATTAATTATAGGTTTGTGCATTATCGGGTACAATCACATAATAATCTTCTTTCACTAAATAACTAAAAAATAACTAAAAATGTACGCTTAGAATTTACGTTTTTTTTAGTTAAAAATACCGTACAAATTGAACAAATTTTCTGTTATATAAAAAGATTATATTTACTTTTTTCTAACCATAAAAGCAAGTTACCAAATTAGCATATTCTTCATTTAACACGATGTGATATTAAATTAGATTTGATTTCCGGATTTGAGCCGCGTGGATTCCTCTTTGTTTGATTCCGATGTTTCGCGAACATTTCAGTCCGCTTCATCAAGGAGGAACGACGCCGAGTTGCTCCTGAGAAATCTTCCTTTATATAGTAGTTGACATAGGGGGAAAGAGGTGGAGAAGACAGGAAGATGGGGGGGTTGGCAGGGAAAATGGTGGTTGGAAATTTGTTGTCTGTCATGTTTTGGTATGATATTAAATTGTGGTGTGGATTATTCCAGGTCCTTAACGCAAATCACGAATACATAAGGTCGAAAGCTTTGCAGAGATTTGAGGATATTATCTCCGACCCGGATAAATTAGCACAGACGAAAGCGACATACAATAAGTGCTACGACGATGGTAATGAATATTTTGCCATTATGATAAAAATAACATTCTAATTATTAAATTCCTTTCAATTACAGTTGTTCGAACCGGAATCACAGGTGAAGCACAAACAGTGCAAGTTATCAAATGCGCTTTGCCTATGATATTTCACGTCGACCAACCACAATAAAAGCGCAGTGCAAATTCTTTTTTGAATATATAATGTACAAACGCTCTCCGCATGATTCTCCAAATTAGTCTGTTTAGCTTCATCTGTATATCGTTTATATATCTTTTTATTGTTTTGTTTATGTCAATGGCATTAATGGTTTAATAAAATGTGGTAAAACAAAAGAAACGTCCGATGAGATTAAACGAATTCTACAATCGACGAAGGAGAACATTAATCGTCCATGCAAGTATATTCTTAAGCATGTATCGTCAAAAATTGGCGGTGCACGTTAAAATAAAGACTCTACATAATAAACAAGGAACATAAGTACCATCAAAAATAGAATAGAAGATAGTATTGTCAAATTAGGAGATCTCTATTGTCAGAACTTACGCGATACAAATATATTAGATGACTAGAAGTATATTTATACATATGACTATGTTAATGCAAAATTAATAATATCTAGATAACCAAAAATACTACAAAATAACGTGATTTTTAACGTTTTCACACACTGAAGGAAAACTATATAAATACATATATCTGCATTATTCCCTTATTTTTTTTATTTTGCTCAGAGAGTCATGTTTTGTGTGTTGGTAGATGACCACAATATAAATATGCAATAAACATATGCCATCAATATTAAGTATCAATTTAAGTATATTAATATGCGTAAAACATTCCTCAATTTGAATAATGTATTTGTCTATATATTAGGTGAGCAAAAAAGTTCTGAGCTTTTTTTGCAAATTTCAATCTTTATTCAAAAACAAACAAAAAAATATTAATCAGCAAAATATTCCCCGTTTGCATCAATGACCTTTTGCCATCTTTCGGGTAGCTTGCGAATTCCTTGACGATAGAAGCTCACCGGCTTCAAAGCGAAAAAGTCACCAATGTATTTTCGTATCTTTTCAAATCTCACGAAATGTGTATCAGCTAAGTGATGCTGCAGCGACCGGAATAGGTAATAATTGGAAGGCGCCATGTCTGGGCTATACGTCGCATGCGGGAAAAGTTCCCAGCCTAACGCAAAGATATAATCCTTTCGCAACATGTGGTCGGGCATTGTCATGAAGCAGGATCACTTTACGCCTTCGTTGGCCAGTAAATGGCCTCTTTTCTTCTAATGCATCATTCAAATTGATCAATTGTTGTCCAACACAAATCATTTCAGTGGCTTCAGCAGCATTTTTCTTCAGATGAAACGCGAAATTGATGGAAAATCGAATATGCTCTTTTGTTATTACCATCGTGAATACTACTGACTTTTTGAGGTTATGTGCATCAAACGCCAAACCGCATGGCATTTTAAAAGGCAAAATGTAACGTTTTAAAACCGCAAAAGGGCGGAAAGGTAAATAAAATTTAAATTGTTGTTTTGGTTGTATGAAATCTAAAGCTCAGAACTTTTTTGCTCACCTAATACATTCCGTTTATTTCTGTAGATTTAGATTAAAATATTATCGTTGTCACGTATATGCATGTGTGTGCAACCTAATATTAAAAGATTGCTAAGATACGCTTGCTTAACACTAATACCGAAAATATTAAATCTGATTTTATATCGCAAATATTATTTTATAGTGCTGTAAATCAATATAATTTTAAATGATAAGATGTAGAGCGAAACTTATAGTATATTGTCACAATCATGAAATATAAATATGCGGCCGCAACTTTGATGCAAATTTAGTTGCTAAACCACATGGAATCGCAGTTCAGACTGAAAGCACTTAGGATGAAAGCTATTATTTACTATTATTGTTAGCCTTCTGCTGATTACGGTATCAAGCAGCGAGTAATATTTTTTACATAATATTTTATTTCGCGTTTTGTAAGGCAATAAAACTCTCCTTTTTGACATTATAACAAATTCCATGTTAGAATTCATTAGGAAATCTTTCGCGCAATTCACCTTGTTCTTTCTTACGTAACTGTGTAAAACACATTTTATTTATTTCTGTGGATTTGGATTATATGATTGTTATCACTTATATGTGAGACATTAGTGCCTCGTAAGAGATTAGTTAATCAGTTATTTAATTAGTTAGTTACGTTTGTTTAACATTAATAGCGCAAACATTAAAACGTAATTTTTTATCATATATAGTTTTATAGAGCTGTAAATCAACCTAATCTTGTTGTTAGAATATAAAGCAAAATTTATAGTACATTATAAAGCATATAAATACGCAGAAACTTCTATTCAACACAGTTCACGGCTAAATCATTTTGAACCGCATTTTTTATAAGATTGAAATAAAAAATAACTACAATACTTAGTATTGTGTATTATATTTTATACGACGAAACGTGTTAAATTACACGTTTCAACGTGTAAATTCATCTTAGTACGTAGTATATTGTGTAATTTTAATACAGAGAATCAAACCACACACATATAATTTTACACATAAGTAAGTATTTATTGCACACTTGAATTTGCAGTGTTAACATTGTTTTTACATTACCAGTTATTTCGTAATGATGTCAATCAACTAGGACATAACAAATAGTAGGTAGTATAGTACACTATAGTACACTATTATATTTATATCACTCAAATTGCATGAATATTATCTATAAAGATGTAACTGCAGATTCTATATAAAGCAGTCTACGACTAAACTCCTCGTATTTGACACTTTCTTAGACATACCCGAAGGATCCAAGATGAAGACTTTAGTGAATATCGTAGGTGTACTGGCTGTTACGGTAAGTTCCAAATAACGAGTAAAATTCTTTGCCAACACACACAGTGCCTCAATGTTATATATCATTAATATTATTCATTAATCTCATTAATAAATTAATCATTAATATCATTAATATTACTTTATAAAAATAAATATCTGATTTATATTTTATTCCATGCCTATTGTACTTGGATTGTATAAAAATCTCAAGATCTCATACTCAGATTAACGTAAAAAAGAGACGCCAAATCAAATTTCAATATTATATTCAGTATTTTAATACCAAATCAAAGTTCTTACTTCTAAACGATTTGAATTCATCTTATATCCGCTTTGTCTTATTTACAGACTCAAATATATTTTACAATATATATTTAATAATGTCTAATTATATTTACTGCTATAGCATTGCGGAGTTAAATGACAAGAAAAAATTTGAACTCCATTTTTTATGTGGTCCATCTATTCGCATAACAAAAACAATTAAATTAATAATTAAATATTAATATAAAGAAAACATTTAGATTATATATATATATATATATATATATATATGTGTGTGTGTGTGTGTGTGTGTGTGTGTGTGTGTGTGTGTGTGTGTGTGTGTGTGTGTGTAATTTTCTCTGTGGAGACTTAAAGTAACATATTTATTTGTTTAAAATAGTGATCCACCAAGAATATTTTTTAGCTTTAATAAATAAAAAATTTAGTCAAATTTATAGATGGAGAGATTCGCTATTGCACTTGACTATTAAATCCAATTATTTTTATAAAATTATTTTTATTGTTTGATTTAATCAGTCTTCTCAGATAATGGTTTACGGTCTGGACGCCGAGCGGTTACAAATGTTTACCGATAATCTCGCAAAATGCAGTAAAGAATTAGGCGAGTCGCCGTGCAAGTATCAAATTTTAAAATATTTAAAGAAATATATAACAGAAAAAAGAATAATTATTATGATAATAATTTCATTATTAAACATTTGAATTAAACTCTTCTATTCATAAAAAAGACGCTTATTGTCTTATATTATTAAAAATATTTGGTATCTACTTGGAAACTTCAAGAATATAACGTTAGTGATAGAAAAGAAACTGCCATCAGTTGATTTACGTCAGTTGAAACATTAGACCGGAATTCGAGACTAACAATTGTTTATATTATAATTTATAATATATATAACTTGTGTGTTGCAGCTGAATCAAGTGCCGAAGCAGTTAAATGCGCACTGGTCAAGGACGGCCAAGTATGAATATTCATATTATAATATGCACTAATCGATAGAATAGCGTTAACACACAGTGTAATGAGGTTATTATATAACTCTTATCACACTGACAGATTGCTGAATTAATGTGTGCGATTGTATAATCCCAATAACATAATTACATTTCGCATTAAGATTAAACAGATTAAAAGATTTGACAGTTAATCTCTATAGGATAATCTGAATATAAACGATCAGATTATTTTAACATGTTTTGAGATTGTAAAAAAAAAGAAGTAAAATATAATAAGTGACCGTACATTATTATTATTATATATTTCAACTAAACTCTTCGGTTACATTGTATGGCTAAATTTTATCAACAGTATTACACAACTATTGAACTGCAATCCTTTAATTAAAATATGCATACTTTAAGTACTTATGTATATTTCAATTAGAGTACTAGTTCAAATAGTTTTGCAACTGTACTGTACTGTTAAGAAATTTAGTCGTACAATATAAAACGGTCGGGAAGTTTAGATAAAATAAATAACTATAATAATAATATATAATATTAACTTTAGAATAAAATATATAATATTAATTATAATAAACATCACACACTAACATGTCACGAAGTAGAAACGTGCAAACTATTCGAATTCAAATCGAATCGAATCAAGTGAAATTCGATTCGATTCAAATTCGAATCCCTATGATTCGAATAATTCGAAAATTTCAAAACGAAAAGATTCGAATCGCACACATTAGCATTAACGAAGTACTATTAAAGACATCCAGCCTTACGGGAATTAACATAACTTGAAAAGTTTGCTATACATTAAGATTTTCTTCAAAAATATTAAAAGAAAATAATGACTTCTAGATAAACTCTTACCGAAAACTGTCGGATCAATATGTGTCGTTGCGCAGCTTTCAAGGCTGGAACTGTGTATTCCATACACGTTTACCGACTATATATTGTATATCTCTTACCTTAAAATAAATTGATATCACATGATCAATGTTATGATCTCTCTCATACTGAAGTCGCTATCTTCATGTTGAATTCAATGATTATATTAATTAAAATTTCTTTCAACGATTCGATTCGATTTCATTCGATTCGATTCGGGTGAAATTTCATCGGTTCGATTCTATTTGAATTCGAAATTAAAATCTGAAATTTGATTCGACTCGATTCGACATAAAAAATCTTTGATTCACACATCTCTATCACGAAGAAAGATACGTAGAAGTGTTCAGCTATGCGTGAAGAGATGTTATACGTAAAATAATGAAATATACAAAATAATCAGTCTATTTTTTATGTTTAACGTGACGTAATATTGAATCACAGGATACTCCATTTCAGATATTTAATGCAAATGGTGAGTACATAAAAGAGTTAACCATAAAGGGACTGGAGGACGTTATCTCCGACGCGGCCACATTGGGAAAAGCGCAAGCGATGTTTACAAACTGCTACGATAATCGTAATCATTTTTATTTTCGCGTCTTGGAGAATGTTTCCTTGCTTACTACATTCTCCTTCAATTGCAGTGGTCCAAAGTAGAGCTATCGGCGACGAACAGACGATGAAAATTATCACGTGCAGTTTGCCAATTTTGTCACTTCTCGACAAACCCTAATTAAAGCTGATTGCAGTTTTCTGCGGATTTCTCTCCATACAAGTATACAAAATACTATCCTTATATTTTTTCTTGAATCTACATTTAATTTTATGAATACTGTGTTTGATATCTAATTATTGAAATATATATTCGTGCTAACGATTCGGTAAGATGAGATTGAAAAAAATTAATCAAAATTGGAAAACCTAAGATAAAATTATTCAAAAAAGACATTTAATAAAGAACGAATTCCGATCAAAGGGAGCCGACAACAATCATCCAAATAAGTGTGCGGCATGTGTTTGCTTCCCAATCATCTTAAACCGAATTAAAAAGAAAGGGATATTTTTTTAGAAAATTAGAATTACTTAAAAAATTACTTTAAAAGTTTAATCTTAAAAAAAAGATTATTTGCTCTATTAATATAATGTTTACCTTATTTGTAATGTTGAAATTTATTTGAAAGCAAGTGTGTTACAAATGTATCTAAATGTTCGCGTGACATTTCAATTTTCTTTAATATATGCTCGATGTTTTCCAACCTTCACTAATCATAAATCCTTGGTATTGTGCTCTATTTGCTACGTTATAGAATATGATAATTAATGATGCAATCATTTCTAAGCCAATCGATTAGCGTTGTTTTTACTGTGCAGCAAATTATGCAACTTACACAATACATAAATGTAGAAACAGGTTTTCTATTATAAGAAAAATCAATGCAATCTCACGCGTTTACAAAATACATAACCGCGGAAACTATTCACTACTGTGGACACGTATATGCATTGAATGAATTTTTCCGAATCATACTCTTGATACAAACAATAGTTAATAACTGTTGCAATTGGAAAACATAATCAAGTTATAGAGAAAGAAATAAATAAAATATCATTTATCCCGATCTACTGTTCTCCTAATCATTTATCCCGGTCTATTTTTCTCATGTCACGTCTTAGTTGTTTTTTAAAACGTGTTAATTGTCCTTTTTGGATGGATCAATGGATTTAACCACTTTACCCTGGGATGGACAAGTTCGTGTGATTGTGAGTGAGTAAATGTGTAAACGTATGTGTGTGTACAAAATAATTATTCTACTTACTGATTCTGGTTGTATTGATTCTTTCTTTTAAGAAATTTTAAATTATTTTGAAGTCCTTCTCGTACTGTAGTTACAGAGAGACTGAAGAGCTTACGATCGGACTTAAGTTGGTGAAGGTTTGGGAATATGAATAAAAAGTGTAACATGACGCTTAGGTCAGGGGATATGTTAGGAAAACAAACCTTTATCTATCCAATAACTTATTTACGATTTTTAATGTTTTATCTTAGTGATCCAATTATTATGTATATTATTTGTATTTTATAAGTTTAACTGACTGATTGATTGTCTGATTGATTGACTGATTCCTTGTCTCTAGTCTGATTTCTTGTCTCTAGTCTGATTTCTTGTCTCTAATCTGATTTCTTGTCTCTAGTCTGATTTCTTGTCTCTAGTCTGATTTCTTGTTTCTGGAAGTGTGTGGGCAGTCACACCCGTTTTTATAGGCAGGTGGCGAGATACCCTCTGAGTTCTCACCACCTTTTAGTAGAAGGGGAAAGATGCTTCTCACGACATGTGAGTAATAATCAATAGTGAAATTTTGACACCTTATTATCAGTCCATTGTTCTTTGACCACCCAGGGCATTTATTGCATTCCTGGTGATAACAGAAGGTGCACTCGGTCGAACTGAAGAGAAGTTACGTCGGACGTAACACTCATTAAAAGATAAAATTTGTTTTCATCGATTGACTAATTGACTGATCATTTATCTCTGAAGTGTACCACGCTCAATAATTATAGACCAAATCGATTTATCGAAGAAATAATATATTATCCGAGAAACAAAGCGATTATTTTAAATTATTTTTCGACTTATTATTCGCGCGTGGCTCACAGTTATAAGTTAGTAGAGAAGGTAATAATCAGCAATATGAAATTCATCGATACAAGTTCATCTCATGGTAGAAAAATACATTCAAAGAAAATAGCACATTATGAGGCCAATCAGTAAGTAAACCTTTCAACGATTAGAGTGGCGATTAAGTGACAAATCTGATTTAATAATGTCACAACAAAATTTTAATTTTGATGGGTATGTATCGTGACGAAAAGGAACTTAAATTAAAGGAAATTAAAAAATGGGACAATACTCGTAAAATCACAATCCTGAGAATTGAATTCCAGGGTAACCAATTGAAAACAAATTTACTGAATTAATTAAATTTGAGAGACCGAATTATTGAAAACATAAAATTGCTCTGCATAATTGTAATATATAAATTAGCACAACAAAATGTAATAACACTGCAAAAATAATATTACTCTCCCGAAATATAACATTATATTGCAAAATATTTGCGAACAATATACATATTTCAAAATACTTTGACTTTATATAATATATTACTTTGTAACAGATAAAGACCCCAACAATCGCTTAGTTTTTTTTTATAATTATTAATACAACGGCGATCATTCTTTTTTATGTAGTCTAAAACATAAATTGTTCAATAGATTTTGCCCCCTTAATCTTACATAATATACAAACGTTGAGATATTGACGTAAGAAATAAAAAACGATACGTGACGTGATATGCAAATTGTAACATCTAAGAAAAACATTAACATTTAAAACGTTCTAAGAAAAATATTAATGTAAAATACAGTGTAGGAAGTATATGACCCACATAAATCACTTTTTTTATTGCGCAAATCCTGATCGTCTAATAACAACCTTGTAAATTGCATATATCGTCATAGATATACCTACATTAGCAAATTATATAACTTTATATGTTCCTGTCACACACCTATAAATACGAAAGTGTTATGTCAAAGGAAAATAGTCCACAGTACAACTTCGTTACACGAACATATTCGAAAGATTCAAAATGAAGACCTTAGTGATTATCGTGTCTGTACTATTTGTTGTAGTAAGTACAAATAAACTTCACTGCTCTATATAAAGTATATTATCTTCATGAATACTAAGCTCATATATTTCATCTTCATATTGTGCGTAATTTGCGACATGATATACAAAAATATATAAAATCAAAGATCAACGCGACATATCTAATGTTAATATTATACTCTACTCACAGCAAGAAATAAAATGACACAAAATCAAACATTTTATTACATATTTCCTTAAATCTGCATCAAAAGTACTATTTGAAGAATATTTCCCTTTACAGATATCTTATATTTCTAGTTTACACCTTCAATTTGCGACACACAAAGCTTCCTTTAATATTTTTATTTAATATTACTCCTGATACAATTACCCTAATCATATTTATACATTGATCTTTCAAGAGTGAAAACTTAAACAACGAAATAATCTAAAGTCCTACTTTGAAGTTATTCGCGAAATAAGAAAAATTATAAATCTACTATTAAATATTAATGCAATAAGAATAAATTCTTTTGTAACTATACGTACTTACACAATATCAACTTCTAAAGACGAAATTTTATAAATTCAAGCTTGCGACTTCTTGCGCAAAATAATAATTTAGGTTATAGATTGATATATATTTCTTGTACGTTATTATCATGTCAAAGCGGTACAATTTTTCTATATTTAGTTGTGATAAATTTTTCCAGACAACTGTTTACGGTAAAAACGAAGCGAGGTTGAAGATATATTACGCGAATTACGCCAAGTGCCTCAAGGAGAAGGGCGGAACGGCTGGTAAATATTAACATTCAAAACAATTGAAGGAATATGATAAAAAATATAAAATAACTATTGTGATGACAGTAACTTCACAGTGGAACATTTACAATGTGAACCAGAGATTAAAATTGGTGATATATCGTTTTCTCGCTAAGAAAATGCGTGTTAATATACATTGTTAACGATTTTTAGTGTCTATCCAGACACCAGCTACATTCAAGAATTTCGCGTCCGCGATAAAGAAAATGTTTCTATAACTAACTGATTCACGTTAGCTCCTTAAGAGCAAATGTGCATAATTATGTAAATTCACTTTGGGAATTAGGAATCCATTTTTTTTCCAATTAACAAAGAAGTAATTAAGTCGATATAGAAGTTTTCCATCCTAGCTAGAATGCTAAAGTGGATAAAGTGATTTCCTCATTAAAGATTTCCCCAATATAACGATCGTGTACGACAGAATTGTTTATGTTCAAAATTATGTAATTTTTAAAAAATTATATACCTGAAAAAAGTAAGCACATTTTATTTTTTCAACTTTTTATCGATGTCTTCTTAAAATACACGATAGGTACTTTTTTACATTATTACTATTATAAGATTTATTAAACTTTGCAATTGGCGCACGCATGCACAAATAAATGTAATATAAAATAATTATATACATTTAGAGAAACATTCTTTTAAATAGTTCGTGTTATTCCGATATAAAACTCATATTTTAAGAGCATTCCATGAAAAATAAAATATTTTAATTCGTATCGGATCAATGCATAAATCTTGAAGATTTAATTATAGCATGCAAACAGAATACGAAATTTCACTATTGAGTTGTTACATCCGTAACTTGTGGTTTACAGATAAACCTAGTCTTGAAGCGATTGTGTGCGTAATGGAAAAAGATGGAGACGTACGTATATTTCGTTTACACTTAATGTACAATAACCGGCAATAAGAATAGTCTTTATGCACAACGCAATTAAGTGACGAGAACTTCATAACAATATATTCGTTCTCAGATGATAATATATAAGAATATTCTGCTATCATTGTGATAAACTACTGATTTACAAAAATCTTGCTATCAGAAAAGATCAATTTTATACATCTTATATAGTAAAACTATTTCAATGATTAGTACATATAAGATAATCTGGACTTAAAAATAATAGGATTGATTCTATATATTTCAAAAGTGAAAATAAAAGAATGACTCTATGTACAAATGTATTCAAGTATACTTTCTCAGAAAGTTACTTTAGCTCGGTATATAAAAACAAGTTCCTCATAAAAATACTGCTGTAAAGTTTAGTTATACGACAGAAAAAGAGTGATAAACAATAGCAACTTTGTGAAATAGAAAAAAAATTTATATTAGAACACTTATATTACACTAACGTATTACGTAAATGCATTGTACGCAAAAAATATTTGCTTTTTGCAAGAGAAGCATCTAAATATAGAAAAAATTAGGTAAATTTCAGCGATTAACATATGGTAATAAAAATCTCGATGTAATAAATATTAGGCCTTAAACGCGAATGGCGAATATACAAGGGAAAAAGCGATGAAAGGAATTGAGGATGCAATCTCCGATCCGAGCACTATACAAAAGGCAAAAGCGATGTATAACAAGTGTCACGATGAAGGTAAACGATTTTTTGTTATCTTAGAAAACAATTTTTACGATAACAAATTTCTATATTAATTGCAGTGGAACAAAGCGGTGCCACTGGCCATGAACAAGCGTTAAAAATTTCCAGCTGCGTTATGCCAGTTTTAGCTCTCTTCGACAAAATATAATATAAGCTATAATCGCAAATTCCTTCATTCAATACACGAAATTTCTTCTTTAACTTTTTTCAGGATTTTCTATAACATTGATTATTATAACCAATACATATAGCGGGCTTATCTTCCTATGTAAAATTATGTATTTGAGCTGGCAATTTAATAAAATGATATTTGCTTAGACAAACTTTTGGAGATACTTATCAAATTCCTATTCAAACGAACATACAATAATCATCTAAACAAGTGTGGCAAGACATTTTTGCTTCCCAATCGTCCTAAACCTATATACAAAACCTACATACAAATGCTACTAACTGCCTGGTAAAGAAGCACTTTTACTTTGTAAAATTCGCGTTGGGGGGGGGG